ACCATAATGCATGAAAAAGCCAACTTCTCCTAAGGATCAGAACAAGCTATTTCAGAGCTATCAACCTCCTCCTCCTTCTTTTTCTCCCCCTCAGTATTTCCCACAACCAGGTGGTGCAGGCTATGCTCAAGGTTTGTCTGTTTGGATGCTCTTGTACTGAGACCCTATTGGGATGTCTATTTTCAGCACCTCAAGGATACCCCGTGGCGTCGAAAAAGCGACTTGCTCATGGAGTTAAAACCGGTGTAAGTGGTTAATCCATCTTCTAGATCATTTACTTATTCTAATGCCTTTTTGAGTTCAACGCTTTTAGGAGAAGTCCAGGGATGAACAGTTGCTCGCTGAGACGGCAGGACTACGACGACGTGTACGCCGAGACACTGAAGCGGCTTTTGATCCCAAATGTAACTCGGAGCTCCTGAAGGAGATCATTCTAGAGGTGAATTCTAAGTTCATGGAAAAGTTCTTCTCTCTAGTAATTTAATTTTGTTTCTGTTGGTGGCTCTTGAAGTATGATCGGGAGAAAAGTGGGAGCATGATACTTGGTGATTGTATCAATCCAGTAAGTAGGGCCCCTTTGGATAAGGCTCGTGCTGATTGAACCAACTGTCGGCTAAGCAGGAGATACCCACTGATGAGATGAACGCAAAAGTGTCTTTGGAAGATGAGATTCCGTCAGGAATTGCTATTTTTCAAGAGCTCTATGAAACAAGACAAGGGAAAAAGTAAACAGGCCGAGATAAACCCGCTTTCTCGAGAAGGGGGTGTTCTTCAGCCATACGATAATGGGTCCTATTGTTCGGCTTCAGCCTTTTTCTTCAACGCAAAGACAGCTGCTGGTCTTCAGAGCTGATGGCGAGAGGTTGTCGCCGGGTTTTTGGTTTTCTTCTATGTCTCGGAACTGCCTCGTAAAACCTGGCAACCCGTCATAGTGATAGAAGATTTTGGCAGTCACTACGCTTCACGCTCTTGAATGAGCCACCCATAGAATATCACTCGAACTACTACAACTTCTGGGTGATGACTCTTCTCAGCCTTCTCTAGTTCTCTTAGCGGAAAATCTTGGGCGATCTATCGGCCTTTCAACGTTTTTACTAAAAACTGTTTATACCAGTCAACCTTTCACATTTGACTGATTGAACGGAATTGAACTTACCCAGGGAGGACCACTCAGGGCTATTTACTATTTTCAGAACATGGATGCGACAACGGCAGTAGCCAAGCGTCAAATTCAAGAAGCCGCTACCACCCGGCTAGGAGGAAGGTTAGAATATTCTTTTTACACATTCTCCAAAATTACAAACACACCAAACGTTAAAAATTACAAAGTCGAGTAGCACTATCGGATCAATCCCTCTAGCAGTGGCGCCAGGTATGGGAAGGGGCAAGATCGTTGGGGATGTTTGTATCCCACTGATTACTACATAACCTCTTATAGGCCTATTGTATTTGGTAACCGTCTTTTCAGAATTGATGTCGTCTGCTCAACGGGAACCTTTTCCTATATCGTAAATACGGAACTGTACTGTGAAACGGAGAAGAACGGCACTACGTGCTTTGCATTCCGGCAATCATCATAACTCAGTGAAAGTCTCGTATGGGATATCAGAGAGAGACGTCTATCCAATGGGTAAATGAAGTGCAGTGGAATGCCGTCTTTATGTTTGTGAATTATATGAAACGATTAATTATTATCTCTAATAATAAATATTTTCAAATTTGCCAATGTCATTTTACAACAACAGCTTCAAAGAGTGAGTGATTCACTACCTAAAAGGTAAATAATTGGGTGAGGATGGGACCGCCACGTCGGAAATTTTCACGCTTGGTCTAGGGATCGAGTGTCGGAACGAGCGGTGCTCAAGCCAATCCGCCATGGTCGGGTACTTTTGTAAGAATCGTCTGAAACTGAAAGCCGAATGATGAAAACAGTGCTCGTTTATCAATTGGCTCCAGTAAGACATCCAGTTGCATACACTCAAGCGTTGTTACGATTCCGATTTGAGTTTGCCCCAAAAATATTATTTTTCATCTCCTAAGTAATTTCTTGGACTGTTTGGGGGAAGCAATTAGGTCTGGAGTTTAGGTCAAGTGCTTTTAGGGTCTCGAGGGGTTTGACCAGTACACAAGTCTCGTGGCATCTATGATTGTCTAGCAGGAGCAACAGCTTGGACTACTGAGCAATTACCTAGTTTTAAGTTAGCTTTGAAATGCCACCAAGAATTATTTGGAGTGGATAGCAAAGCATCAAACGGCAATGCAACCATTGAAAGAATATGTTTTCTAAGACGGTAACAAATCAAAGGGGTGAGCCACATGGAAATATAAATGTGATTGCTTCGGTCACAATAATTCACTTTGAAAAGACCATTTCCGTTGATGGTGCTAAAGCCAGGTGGTGAGTGCCAGCAGGATCGTGAATATAGCTGGACGATGGGCCTTTTAAAGGTAGTTGTTTACCTTGAGATACTCTTTCCAGGTAAAAAGCTTCAGTGTTGGTGGAGAATAGTGCAACGGTGGTGACCACAGTGCGAAAATAGGCAGAAATTACAAATTCAGGGGTTTTGAAGCAGTAGGTAATAGGAGTTTATGTAGACAAAAGTGGTTTGAAAAGAGTATTTGGATAGAATCTCAATTGTGTGCCCCAGTGAGTAAAGAGTTCAGCTAATTATCTTCTCATAGCCAGAGGTTCAAACAAAAATGAAGTCACCTTTCTCATTCGTACAACGTAGAGATAAGAAAATCAAGATGGTGTGAGAATACCACAGAACCAAATCATCATATAAGCCCAGACGATCATCTTTTTCATCATATCTGCTTCACCGTGAATAAAGCAGTCTTTACATGCCCGCTGGATCACGTCCTCCATTGTAGTGCACAGCGGAGACAAACTTTCAGCCCATATAACACCCTATCCGAGGTAGTTCTGGTTCAGCAGCCTCCCATATTGCATCCTCTGCTGGTCCTCGCCAGAAATTTCGGAAAGCATTTTTATCGTCAGTCGTTTCTTTGAACAGTAGAAAGAAACCCATCCTGCAACTGACAGATGACAGTGGCCCCTTTTGCAGAGTTTGTCATCAAACACAGTTTCTTTCCTGAGATTTCGTCTAATGTTTTGCCCAATGGTACACGAATCCGGCTCGGGCGGTTTAGCTTTTATAAGTACAGAATCAGGGGGAGAGCTAAGCCATGCCCAGAACTCCTTGATTTTGACTTTCCCTGGTTTTGACTTTTCTATTGAATGTGGCCTCCCCGACTACTGCAGATCCAGACGCTCCCGCCATTCACTTCAGGAAGGAGTCCGCCGTTCCGGGAGAGACGAGGATGACCACATTCGGCAGTTTTCGTTAATATACACAGAAATAAATAAAGCTAATGATCAAAACGGCTTAGAAACATCTTTATTCAACAGTACAAGAAATAATTAAAAAATATACAACGAGTGATTGATATGTATTGCAAAATAAACGATTAACGTACAACCTAAATAACCCGTTATAAGAATGAAATGGTGGCCATGATCGTGTATAAAATTGAGGCTGATTTTCCAGAAAGTGAAAGACGATACTGCAAAAAGTAACAGTTACGAAGCAGTAAATAACGAATAGCAAAAATGCTGACACCTTAACTAAAAGCAACGAAGACGTTGGCCTTGCGATCAGAAGCCAGCATCGGCAAGTTGTTTTGCCAAATCGAAGTCCGGATGGTCATGGACGGAATTCGATGCAATTTTTTTCTCTTCTCGAGGTGGCGAGAGTAATTGTCTGGGTAGGTAGTTCAGCATCGTGTTTTCTACTACCTGGAATGTTAAATTGTCATTTTTACTGAGAAGCACTGAAACCACCCAGCAACTCCTTCATTTTTACGCCCGTATTTATTCCAGCATTAACAACAGAATAAGGAGCAATCGGTCGCAGTAAGTAAGTAGAATAAGGAGCAATCGGTCGCAGTAAGAAAGTAGAGTTCGTCTCACAGGACCTTGATAATAAGGCTCTCATGAATTTCTCGTTGTTTCTTCTGCACCAAGGTCTAACTCTCTTCCTTCTTGACTAAGGTAAGGCTTTTAGGTTTATTTAGTTCCAGCCTACTGAAGACTGAATACGACAGTGAAGCAACAACGAAGACTGTCGGAGAAAAGACGATGTCTCCACCCTTCTCAATTTCTCTGATATCGACTGCACGACCCTTTGAGAGTGAGCGAGTAGGAAAAGTGGGGGCTGCAGGCTTCTTGGGCGGAAATTCATGGAAACATGGTCTTCTGAGCTTAGGGTTCCTTGGTACTAACGAGCATGGGGTCTCACCGTCTAGATACCGCAGTACCTTCTTCAGGAGCTACCTCGTTTTCCTATGTGGCTCATCACAATACTCGGATCCTCCTTGGGATCAGCTTTCGAAGTGTTGACCGTCTAAGCGAGTTCATTCTTGGCTATGTCCCTAAACTGAGCGCTAAACTGATTATCCATTGATTTTCCAAGCTTCCAGGACCTTGTACAGCTTAAGTGCTAGCCCCTAAGTTACTACCCACATGGAATGGGTGTTGGACCTTGCAATGCTTAGACTTCCTCGTCAAGGTCAACCTCATCACTGAGACGTCCAGGAAAACTGTTTGCCATTGCAAAAGTTGCAAATGAAGTTCCGTCGATGGCAATGACGGCCTATGGCCAAACCGGGTTAGTTATAAGACATGGTGTCTACGCTACATCGACTGCCATCAATGGAATGACCATCACTCGACCGGTAGTGCGGCGGCAGGGGTGTTACACAGACAGCTAGACTGGCAAATGAGAAATGGCATTAAAAACTGGTCACTGGGAAGTTTATGTGACGATTTCTTCGAGTTTTATGGTGATAAAACCTATTACACAGCTCAAAGACTACGATCGTCTAGACGTGGCGGCTGGTGTTGTTGCTTTTTAAATTGGATTTTCTAGTAGCCACTCGAAAACTGTAATTAATGTTGCCGAGATTTCAAGAAGGGCGTGTTGCAGTGATTGGCAAAGTGAGCCGGCGAACGAAAACATTCTGAACAGGATGTACCACTACGCGGTTGCCATCAATCGCTACACAACCAATTTTCCCCATTTTTTTTNNNTTTTTTTTATCAAAGTTGAGCTACTTCTAAGGAGCACCTTCTGCTGGAAGGAAGGGCGCTCTTATGTTCTTTGGAGGGCTTCGATATGTATAATTTTATTGAAATTACGTTTGTGAACTCAAATTCACTGGATTTTTGGAAAGTATCAAGTTTTTTTGAACTTATGGAAGCCTGTTTTCATCAAAAATCGGAGCTTGTTTTCAAAAATCAAGTACTTACTCTAGCGAAATGGCCAGCGTTGCACAATGGTGATGTACACACGCAGAGAAGGGATGGAGTCTGAAAAATTGCTCTATTAAAATTAGCGATACTGGAGTAATGCACGTATTGAATGATATTGTAAAACAAATTAATCGAGGTAAAGGGTAAAAAAAGTTGCAAACCAAAAAATAAAGTAGTAAAATGTAAAAGTTGCTCTAAGAAGGTCAAATCACAAGACTATAGATAGGAACATTTACAATAATTAGCGATGCTCTTTGAAAAAACGTTACCATTTGTGATGGTGGTGCTGGAGGCGAATCAACGGACCACGTCGGTGCCATCGACGGTGAAGCCTTAATTATTACAAATTCTGACAATAATCTTCTAATAAGATCATCTGACAATGACCTGAGAACGGCATGAACGTTTTAAGGAGCTCCCATGGAAAATACTTCGTATATTGTAATCAGTGGAGTTATTTTAAACGTGGTCTATTTATTTGAACTCCTATATAGGGTATGCCCCAGCCAGCAAGATAAAATTAGGGGCTGAGGGTGTAGTT